GAGGCCCAAAAGCCAGTACCATCTGAAATAACACTGGGCAGCACAGAAGCTGATTTTCTGGTACCCTCCTCACCTCTCAGAAGCTCTCCTGGAAAGCATGTGAGAGAGAAACAGAGGCTTTATATGAAACAGAATGTTAACCACCCTTGTATTTCTACTCTGATAGCAAGCCTCTTCTGAGCTGTAAGTCTTACTGCAGCTACATTTTGGATTGTGCACCAGACCTCAGGAGTGTAAAACTGAGCTTCTGATCCTACATGCTTTGAAAGTTTGAATTCACTACAGCCATACACAAAGTAACCGAGTTGCATTTCCCTGAGACTGGGTTATTTTGCAGCTTCTGTGTTTTCAACTGACCCCCTTATCATCACTAGGAGCCCACAGCCAAGTGTGTGATGTTTCCACTAACACTGATCCAGTCAAACTGCACCTCTGCCTTCCCTCACTGGGACACAACCCTGCAACGATCTTTACAGATGGACCTGCCAGGCATGGTGAAAAAATCACAGTTGGGAGTCTGGATGCAACAGTTAAAGGACTCCTACAGCCATATCCCAGAGCAATGGGAGTCAAAAGGGGAAACAGTGCAACCCACTCACCTCAAATGACCCAATCACCTCCCTTCCTTACCCTGGTGCCAACTGGGAGGGAACACCCAGGCTTTGACCCGAACATCCCATCAACTTCCACAAGCCTGGGGGAAAAGTCTTTGCATGGCAAATCATCTAAACAACTTTCCTTCAGGCTGGCCCAGTCTTACTTTCAAATAATAATGCTTTAAGCATTATTATTTAAGCATAGAATGAGATGCAAATAATTTTTTGCACGGAAGAGAGCAACTCATTCTGCATGTCTACCCACGAGTTTATGGAGGGAGAGGATGGACAATATGAGCCTGGAAAGCCCAACAGTTAGAGCTAACCCTCCCACACCACCCAGGGAGAAGGACAGAGCAGTTTGCTGGTGTTAAATCCTTCCCAAAAATCAGCTAGTAGCCAGCTGTGTCCTACAATACAGGCAGCCACAAATTCAGTGGCCTCATTTCCCAGTTTTATGCAGCCATTTGGCAGCATTGATGTTTTCAGCTCAGTTTCTATTTTCCTTTACATGAAAATTGCAATGCTGACAGACGATTGACCTCTCCAACATCCCTGTGCAGTATGACTTCAAACACATCCACAAGCCTGTTTGTGCTATCAGGCATCTTCTGCTTTAAAACTAGGTTAGAATTGGCATTTCTGTATACTCCTTATTAAAGGATCTCCAGAATACTCTGTGCAGGTGTTTTTTGTCAGTCCTGCTGCAAGACAAAAGAGTATGTTGGGATCCTTCCACACAAGTGAAAGCCAGCTCATCCTGAGGAGAATGACACAAGACAACACTCCCATGAGGGTAGTTCCAGCAAGGAAATGAAGGTTCAGAAAGCAGATCATAAGAGAGGCAGCTGAGGCATCAGGCTCAGCCCCATCACTGTTAGAAGAAAGCATGAAGGACCCCACTGACAACTTACCTCAGTCTTTATTTTAAATCTTATTGCAAGGAAGGAACTCTTAGCAGCCAAACTACTTGTCAGATATTGCTCTTATCCAGAGGAACCTGTCATTTAGTGATCTGGTGATGTTTTTCACAGTCCCTGTGCAGTGCTAGACAAACAGTATGCAGCTCATTCTTGGAGGCCATGCTGCTGCACTGTTTCAACAAACATGCTTGAATCTGCCTTAAGAAGCGCTAATCCTTTCTTGAATTGAGCAAACACCAATCAAAATAGATTTTTAGTTGACCGATTTCTCAAAAAAAATCATTTTTAGATGGAGGGATTAAAAGCTAAATACAGCGAGCAGATTGTTTAGACAAGCTACAGTCTGGAAATACAGAGAAAATGACTGTGAAATATAAAGAGAATTAAGAACTGGTTGTAAACCAGGGCTAAATTTTAAACAGGTTCTGAGCAAGAAGCAGACATATCAAATGCAGACACATTTATTAATGACACACACTGCTTAGCTATGCTCTCTGAAATGCATTTCCTTCCCCAAGCACAGCTCTCGCACAGCTTTGCCACGGCAGCATTAGGAAGTAAACAAGTCTGATGTGCAGCACACTGCACTGATGCAGTCTCGCGCTTCTCAGGGTTCTGTCACTTGCTTTATCGCTCTGCTAACTAAAAAGAACTAAACTGCAAACAGTCCTAAGCTGCAAAACATCTACAGACAGAGCTCTGCAGATTTATAGGCAGCATCTACATGAATCTCACGAGCCTGTTTCTCAAGTCCCAGTCCACCAAAGGGTTCGATCCTCTAGAACAAGATCAAGGATATGCCCAGAAAAGGTTTCTTATCACACTTAGGTCGTCAGTATACCGCCACATCAGGTGCTTCACAAGGCACTCAGAAGGACAACAAATGTAAGAACAAATGCCAGTACCTGTTGTGCTGTGAGGCTGTTGCATGCAGATAGGAGCCCAAAGAAGAGGTACGAAGGGCAACACACTTTCACAGGTTAGAAAAACCCACAGAATTGGTATCTCCCCCAGACAGATTTCCCCACTGAAGTCATCTCCAAATGTAAAACTTACTTTGATTTATTGATGGCTCTTTTCAGCTTCTTCTCCAGTTGTTTCATCCTTCCCATGGCGGCATTGTATTTGGCTGCAGTCTCCTTGTGAATCAACTCACTTCTCGTTTTGGTCTGTTCTGCCTCCATGACCTTCAACAGGATAAAGAACAGGTTGAGTGGCAAGACACAACAATCCATTTCTTATTATTTCAATAAACAGCATCTTCATAATCTCTCCAATCGGCTCATGCCAGGAAAGTGAGGGTGTAGAAAAAAATGTACTTTCAATGAACCTACTTAAAAGTCTTTCCTGAAAGGAGCAGCAACACGTCAGATTTGCAGACACTGCATTAATTATGACAAAGGTGTTGCAGCTTCTTGCACTACTTCTCTTACAGGAAGTTGAGAGGTGTCTCAAATTTTGCGATCATCCATTTCTTAACCCAGTTAAGGGAGCAGAGCAGTGCCAGCAGAAGTCACCCATTGACCAGCACCCTGCTTCTCTCATGGGAGCCTGCCCTTCCCAGCAGAGAGCCAGCGGTCTGCTCAGCCCCCAGCCGCAGTCCCACCGCTCTGGGAAGGGCTGAAATCCAACGACAGCCGTGGGAGGGCTGAATCACCAGTTGCCAGAAAAAAGCGTGTCCAGTGGCTGACGACTGGCAGAACAACAGGAAGGTTTTCTCTCAAAACAGCCTCAAATCATGGTTTCAACACCGAACATGCAGAGGTTCAAGCCCTCAGCTGACACCCCCATAATGCAGATGGGGGAACACTGCCCACTGTCAGGCAGGCAGATGCTTAATGCGCCGCTGTCCCAGGCCCAGAACATTAGCCACTCTCCATATACAGCCCAGGCCTTGCCCAGCCAGCTGGGCTGCAGCCCTGCAGACAAATTCTTCCAGCAATCATTTCTTCAAAGCTTTATAAACAAAGGCTCCTTGCTGTGGCATTTTGCAGCAATGAGGAGCCTGCAGAAGTAACAGGAAAGTAAATGTCCCTCCATTACTTGCTCTGCTGGTATCCCATAGTCAAACTTTACCAGTAATTTTATCCAGGGTACTTGTATCGTGCAAATTTGAGGTGTCAGAGATGTAAGCCTGCAGATCTGTTTTCTTTAATGCACCAGCCATCAAGATTCAGACAGGGAGGTAACTGATTTGTTTAAAGTAAGAAAAGTGGTGACACAGAATCACAGATCCACAAAATCGTCTGTGTTGGAAGGGACCTTAAAGATCACCCAGTTCCAACCCCCTGCCACGGGCAGGGACACCTCACACTAGAGCAGGTTGCTCCAAGCCCCTGTGTCCAACCTGGCCTTGAACACTGCCAGGGATGGGGCAGCCACAGCTTCTCTGGGCACCCTGTGCCAGCGCCTCAGCACCCTCACAGGGAAGGGTTTCTGCCTAAGAGCTCATCTCAGTCTCCCCTCCGGCAGGTTAAAGCCATGACTGCAATCTGTGTAATTTCTTTCATGATGAAAATAAAGAACATTGCCTTGATTATTTTGGATGCGAAAACAAACCAACTAGGAGGCCCCTCTTCAATCTCAAAACACGATGCTATTCTTTTTGATATTTTTATGATCTTCCTAGAATCCACAGGAAGCAAGAGATTTGGCCAGTATAGTATGAACATTTTTATTTCATTCTTGAGTGATGGTTCAGTGGTTGTAGGTTTTGCTGGAGAACTGATTAGAATTTAGTATCATACAGATACAATTAATAGAAGCATGATTCAAGTAGGCCCCACAGGAGCCTTCATCAGTAGATCAAGTGTTTACACAAAAATATGATGCAAGGTAAACAGTATTAAAACAACAAACAAATAAATTTCCAAAATCACAGAGAGAGAAGGACATAAATCAGACATTATTGAACATAAGGTGACTTAATGATTTTGTTATAGGGGTGGAATGTACATCTCCATTGGTCTGGCAATGAGGAGAAAGCAGGCAGTCTTCAGGCTTGCTCTCTTGTAGCCATGAAGACATCCATACAAAAAATGCCAGGACTTCATTTTAACCAGTCCTGGATTTCAAAGTGTCTCAGCTGTGGCCAGGTACTTCACAACTTCAAGCACAATTTGCTCCAACTGGCTCACATCACGAGAACATGCATCTGAGCTCTCAGATCCAGAGAGAATATTCAAATTTCCTCATTTTAGATAGCCTCACCCACAAAGCTCTAATTTCTTGTTAAGTGTTCCAGCTGTCAGGCTGAACTGAACAGGGAAAAGAGCACAGTTAGTTTTGACTTGCTTGGAGCGCAGCTCCTCTCAGGAAAACTGTCATGTTGTCCTTTCTGATTCCTACATGAAAGCATGAAACTGCTACACGTTACCAGATTGATAACAGGCTCTCTCCTGCATCCTGAACTGCATCAGCATCAACTAGAAGCTCTTGCTGCCACAACTTGAGGCCACATTTTACTCATCTGCACACACCACTTATTAAACAAAGAAGCTGCTACAGGACTATGAGGAAGAAAGGTTTCCAAAGGCTCTTTTGATCAGCTATAAAATAATATACTCATCTCCAAGATCCTTCAACTATTTTATAAATAAGGCACCCAGGAGGGGAAAGGAGGGGAGGAAGGAAGACAGATGATAGAAAGAAATCTGTCAGATTGGTAACAGGCTCTCTCCTGCATCCTGAAAACACGCTGCAGCTTCTTATCTTGAGCAGCTGTTTGAAAACTAGCTTGATGCATTGACCTTCCTTAGTGAAATATGTCAGACAAGGCTGGTTTTAGCGTGGAAGTGTCTTAAATTAAAATGCCATCTCCAAAGACTGCACAAAAGCTAGTTCACCTTCCTTGTAGTGTGGCAAGGAAACTGCAATTTTAAAATGCTGGAAGCTACAAAATGATGGAGCAGTTGGAATTTGCCAGTACTCAATTAAATGTCAATCCCTTACATCAATTCCTGGGGCAAAATTAACACCCACTTTGATGTGTGGGATGAACCACATAAGTACTACCAGCATAAGGGTCATAAAGCCAGGTTAGGCATCCTTTATCGTCTTGATTTTGCACATCTTTCATCTTGAACATTGCAGAAATGCTGAACCCTGCAGAACTGGGATTTGAGGGTGACAGATTGTAAACAACTCAAAGTATCTGACAAAATATGGCACTTCCAGCCAGCCACACATACCCATGTTCAGTACCCTTTCCAAAACGAAAGATTGCGTACTTCATCCTTTTGACAAATCAGTGATGTAAGGAAAAACATCTTCTCCCACTCCCTTGTTTTCCTATGGACATTCTGTCATCACACTCACATCACCCACACAAGTCTGTGGAGAGGCCAGAGACAACCTGTCTCCTTTCCCTTTCCCCCAGGACAGCTGCTCAAGATGCATGCCTAAGGCTGAGGACAATACCTGGAAGATCGTGAGGTATCTGTGGAGATCCATCACCTGCCAAGATGCATTTCATTCAGACAAGAAAAAATAAAAAGACCATCCACCCCTCACAAAAGCCAAAGGCCTTTAAGTAGAGAAGCTGTCCATCAGGGCAGGTGGACAGAAACAGACAATAACCATGCTGCCACCTCTACATCTGGGAGGTTCATTGGAAGACTAGCTAGGGAAACCCTTTACCTATTAAAAAGGTCTTACTTAGAAGATGACTGACATAGCTTGTGTGAGAGAAGTACTTTTAATCAGACCTAATGATACAGTTGGGGACTTATAAACAAGCTTTTGGTCACAGTTACCGAGTAAGCTGTTTTGTCTAATAAAAGTCAATGTGCTTCTACCACCAACCTTGCTGTGTTGATGCTCCTAAGCCATCACAGATGCAACAGCATTGCTTTGAAAAAGGCAGAGATATAAGTGAGGATGACACCTCTTCAGATTAAGACAGCTCAAGACACACCTCTCCTCATTACATAGTACCTGCCATTCATACCCTTGGGGCAAGCAAGGGACTACTCTTAAGACAAAAACATCCAAAGCAGGTAAACTTCTAGGATGCCCACACTTTCACCACACATTTCTGTAGCTCTGTCCTTAATTTCTAGATTGAGTTCTGCCTGAAACAGGTATTCTCCCAAAGTAGCACAGGCTACAAAAACCCAACACAGGTATCAATCGATTCCTCTTCTCTCCTTCCTACCCTCTGTTTCCAACCCAGATGTCTGGGAAAGGAAGGTTAGTGTAGCATATGTATTTTTAGTGAGTAAGTCTGAAAATGTACCAGTGAAATTAAGCAAAGCTGACCATCTGAGCCAGATTCTGCACAACTGGTTTGGGTTTGGTTTTTTTTTTTTTCCAAAAGGTATAAATTGATGGCTCTTCTAGGGGAAGAATTATAAATAGAAGATGTAAGAAGCAATGCAAAATTAGTGAACCAGAAGGACAGAATCAACAATACAAGAGATTGCATTTAACCCCTGCATTTCCAGGGTAAAGGGTCAGAGAGATCAGGATAGGGAGGGATGCAGGTATTTTTGTTGTTTCTTTCACAGACTTTTCTTTTCCCCCCTCCCCCCAGCCTTTTTCTCCAAGAATTGCTATCTGAAGGAAGTATCTCTTCTCCCTACACCACAAAAGCACCCACGCATTGTACAATGACAGATGGTGTTAATATCAAAGGGAGCGTCACAAGCCAAATTAAACCTAGAGGGAGCATGCCTCCTCCCTCTTCACTCTCTCCTCATCCGTTCCTTTTTAACATTTCTCATGAACAAGAGCCAAAACATTTCTTCTCCCTGCCAGAATTTATGAATCAAACATATCTCAGGAAATACTGTAAAAGCAGATTGCATCAGCAATTAGAAATTAGCAATTTCTCTTGAAATTCATAGCTGATCTTCCTTTCTGCTCCCGCATGTCTGAAGCTTGAGGTAACACATCTGTCAGCACTTTCCTTTTGTACACATGTATGAGTGATTTTCAACAAGAATACAAATGTGAAGATCTCTGTCCTTCATCCCTCTGAAATTCTCCACCCTTTGGCCTTTCTACAGGCCTGTTCTCTGCATCCCAAACTGCAGCATTATAATTCAAGGTACTTGCAGACAGGAACACACTTCCCAAAAACATTTTCTCCACATTTTAAAGGCAAACTGCAGTTACCAAAAACCTGGTAGGCCAGTGGCTAAAAAACAGTAGTTGTCTTCTCCAGGCAGCTTAAGAGCTCATCAAACCTGTTTACATGGCGACATTTCCATTATAATCAACAGAGAATTCATCTTATGATGAACTTGCCCCTCTGGCCATGTGAATTGTTCTCCAGACACCATCAACTTATTGAACAGACCTCCTTTGATTATAATGAAAGTTTAGGCAAGTAACTGGAACATACAAAATCAAATCCTGGACACATGAAGCTGGTGAGCTAAATGCCAGCCTATATGTCATTACACTTACCTGAGATCTGTAGAGAAATGGATATCTAGGGAGAAAGGCACAGGAACATACCCAAAAATACACATCAAGTTAAGAGTAGGAGCAGGTAAAGCAGCTGCCTGACTCGCAGGATCACATCACAGTCCTGTGCTTCACTATGTCAACACATATCTCAAGCACAGACATTTACAGGGTTTACTTGCATCTTGGCAGGCAGGCCAGCTCCTATTTAGGCACCCAGCCTCCCTTGGAAACATAGCTCAAACTACAAGGTGAAAAAATTGGTGAGTGGTGACCTGTTCTCACTATAACCTATTCATGCTGGTCCTGTCTGCTCTGCAAATAAAAACACCTTCCAAATGTTACACTTCCAGCCCACCTGGGATAAGCAAAGTTTCAGTAACCCCCATTTCTCACCAGTTTAAGTATATGATTTTCTGTATCAGTGGCTACAAAAGCCTTGTTTACAGTAACCCATTAGACTGTCATGTTAAAAATAGTCTTAATAGCTTTTCAGTCTATGAAGAAATCCAAAAGCAATTACAACATGCAGCCCTTATCTCCGCTTCCTCCTAGTGGGGGTCTGCAAACAGTATTTCCCATTTGATACTCTGGAACCCAAGTCTTTGTCCAGATCCATTGGATCAAGTGCAAAAGTAACCTGGTAGTATTTCCATATGTGCCTGTATATATCTGTCTCTATCTATACATATATAAAATTCAGTGTTTCATTTGTTCTCTTGCCTACCATTTTCCTTTATTCACTCTGCTTGCATAAACCATAAACTCAAGCTGCTACAGGGCTTGGGTTTTGTTCCAAATTTCAGATTAATTCAAGAGTCTGCAACCTCTGCCTAAGAACAGCAAATAAAACAACTTTACTCTGGCTTGACAATCCTATAATAGAGAAACAAATTAATGAGTAGCCCACTTTTAACATTTGGCACAGAAGTGCTTTCCTGTTCTCAGTGCATTGCTGTAGAAGATGATTCTCTGCCCAATACAACTGTCATTTATAAATACATGCAAAAAAGCTAGCAAAAACAAACAACTAGAGCACAAAAACTTTCTCCAACAATGATTTTATATGTAGAAATAGAGGAATTCTATTTCTTAACCCTCAAAAACAGTTTTTTCCAGTAGTGATTTCTAGTGTAATTAATATTTAACAATCCAAGTTAACAACAACACTGTGGCAGTCAAGGAGAACTTTTGTTCTAGGAGAACTTATCCTTCAATCTGTTCTCGCTCATAGCTTGGTAGGGAGTGATGATGTTTTCTGCTCCTTAAGACCCCAATTATTCTGCTTACGTCACTGGATACTAAACACTTCACTAATTGCATGCATTGAAACCAAGAAAGTATTCACTCTGCTCCTAAAGAAGATACAGAACTCAGGCACTCCAAACAAACTAATGCTGGGTCTGTTCAGTCAGGACTTCCAACAGCATTTTCACCCTCCTTGGCTCTGGCCCTAGCCTTAAGACCTCCAGCGTGGCCAATGGAAAACACAAACCAAGCTTCCATGCAAGTCTTCCAAAATTGTCTGTACCCTGGCGAGGTACAGATCAGTGCTTTCTGGGAACTGACCTTACCCAGACTATTTTAAGCACCAGGAAGAACCGGGAAACACACTTTGCATTCAAGGAGCCACCAGCTGCTCTATACAATCCAACCATTTGAACTCTCAAAATCACTTGCATTTCTCTCCTTACACAACCCAACAGAAAATTTTTGTTATGCTAGCTAGAGAGAGGCAGCTGACAAGTGGTTGCTATCACTCCCCACCTGATCTCAGCATTTTATCAGTCAGGAGCTCTAAGCAACTCCTTAAATGCTTCTAGTTTTCTCACCTGTCTATTCCGAGAATCAAAAATTGTGTATGCATATATAGACTTTGCTCTCATTGAACAGGGACACCAACAATGCACTGCTGTAAACTACACAGAGAGCAGGACTTTCAAATACTGGGATATACACTTAGCAAAAGCCACCTGGTTAGTCAACACCAGGGGATCTGCCAACAGGGCTGGCGTGGCCAAATCAGAATGTTTATGTACCATAGAGGGTGATAAAGTTCCCATGGTGCACATAAAGAATCTGCTGGGGAAAACAGTCTGGGTCATTCCTGCCTCGGGCAAAGGCAAACCCACTTGTGAGACTGATTTTGCTCAAGGACCTGGGTGCACTTGGTACGTAATGTGGGAGGATGGGGAAGTCTGGTGTGTACCTCAAGGGGATTTAATTTTGGGGAAAAAAAAAAAATGAACTCGATTATATGCTGTTGCCTGCTATATAACAGTCATGCAGCAGCTAAATGCCCATCTCAACGACTCCAGACTTTGCAAAGAAGCTATGTGCTGTCATGGTCATCATCAGAGAATAAAGCTATGGGAAAAGCCAGCAGCAGCAGCGGGAGTCTCCCAGAACTGTCCTCAGGTCACCATCGACCGACCCTTGACTTCTCTCTGATCATCACCCCAAAGAATGAACTTTGAGACCAGATGAGCTCAGCAATGACCAGATGAGTTCAGTGGTGTCATCAGCAGGCAACAATCCAACGCTACACACCATTTCTCCTGCCCTGAAAGACTGTTACAACAGATGGAGCCTGACATAATGGATTGAATGAATTCAGCAAACTTTATAGGGATGGTCCATGGACTAAGGAATGATATCTGTCTGTGTGTATATTACACATATACATATATAAAGACAAAAAAGCAATGGGCATATTGAAAAATGTAGGATCTGAGCATGATGTAAATGGTATGGAATAAGGGGTGGATACTGTCCTGGGTTCAGCTGTAATAGTTGTATTTTTTCTTCCTAGTAGCTGGTGCAGTGCTGTGTTTTCAAGTTTAGTCTGAGAACAATGCTGGTAACACACTTGTGCTTACCATTGCTTTCCATTTCCCTTATTTTTATATTTTCTCCCGTTATTTCCCTTATCTTTAGTAGTAATAGTAGTATTACGTTGTACTTTAGTTATTGGACTGTTCTTATCTCAACCAGTGGATTTTACATTCTTTCAATTCTCCTCCCCATCCCACCTGGGGAGGGAGAAGGGGGGGGGGGGCGCGGTGAGCGAGCGGCTGTGTGGTGCTGAGTTACAGGCTGGGTTTAAACCATAACAAACAGGGATCCCAACAAGGGATAATGGCAGCTGCTGGTGACCTGGCACAGACACACTAAGGTGGAGCTCCCTTCAGAAAAACCTAATGATAACAGGGACAGTAACACAAACAATATCCTGGAGTTTGTTTGCTCTTTGTAAGATATTCCAGGTTTTCCATCTCTCCCCTGCACACAACCAACATCCTTTTTGTTCCTCGTTTCTTCATCAGGCAGCTGGTTTTTACAATTCACTCTGAAATAGAAGCTTTCTTATGACTGAGAAGCTTCTGCAACAGAACAGAGCTACTGCACTGAGGACTGTGAGACAATACAAACATTGTTTGGCATGCTAGCATATTTGGAATAGCAAGTTCAGCCTCACTGGCATATTAAGGGAAATCTCTGACAGAACAAAGGTTTTTAACTTCGATTTTTGATTCTTTCATGTTAAAAAAAAATAAATTCTGCCTTTTTTTTTTTTAATGAATACCGCCTTTCATCGTTTGATGGTGCACCTTTTCTGTAGACTTAAAGAGACTTTATAAAGGAGGTAAATTTGGAAGGTACTTAGGATAGAGCAGTGTGCAAGCTTAAAATTCAGCACACGTTTTGAGTAATTCTACATTCAAACACGTTTCTGAAGCAAAGTGCCTTGTTCAACTTACTCCATACTAAGAACATGTTATACTGAAATTGGAGCATGTCCCTGTTTTTCCAGAGTAAGTTTCCATAACACGTGCACTCAGGAATAGGCATTCCCACGCAATTAGCCTGGCATAACTTCAAATGCAGGTATGCCTTAAGATACTGTTTATCCCTACTATAGACATGGTATTTTTTTTTCTTTAGAGAGCTACTTCACTAGCTATTAGCACTGCCAGACAGGGAACTATAGATGTCTCAGTAGCAGCCCAAAGCACAAATCATTTAACCTTAGGCTTCATAATTTTCCGTAGCTTAATTTCCTACAAAAGCATTTATCTAGACCAACAGAAAAAAATTGGTCTTTCAGAAACTACGCCTCATACACCACAGGAGAACACAAAATATGGAAAAGACAGATGCTGGGGCAAGTTTGTATTACCCTCTGGGTAGCATGGTTGAGCATCTCTTGCCAGGCAGAGTCAAACTGACGTTTGTCATCTTCCAGCAGCCTCTGCTCTGCAAGTGAAATGGTCTCTTTTGCAGCACGCAGCACTTCAGTGGCCCTCTGAAAATCCTGAGTTGCCCTCTGAGCTTCCAGCTGTGCCTAAAAAAAACCGAGAAGTTGGGATGAGAGACAAAGGAACGTTCTCAGTCACGTGTAGAAGATCCACCACACTAATCCCAGGACTTTAAAACCATCATGCCAGTGTTACTGCTTCCCGCACTTCTACTTGGAGGTGACACCTATTTCCTCATTGGAGTAAGCACTGCTAAGACAGCAGTTCTTACCCAAAACAGGTAATATGCAAAGAACTGTCTCACGCTGTCCATAATAAAAAAATCACACAGTTGGTGGCTTACAAATAAGCACCTAGTTGAAAGATAAATACCTTATGAGGTAGGTTTAATCACTGAGAAACAAAACAAAACGCAATAGCAAGCTTGTGGCATGTCAAGAATACATTGAGAATGGCACTCCCTGAATTTAGTCAGGGTGGATTTTTATCTGGTGTACCATTAATCATGCTGAGGAAACATTCTGGAAGTATTACATGGCTGTAAAGCTTAAACAAGATTTTTCTGAGAAGGTGGCTGCTAACTGTTAGGACTTTGCTCTCACTGTTTCTACTTTGCTGTCACTGGTTGCAACTGGTGCAGCAAGTCCACAGTACACAGACAGGAAGGGAATCTGCAATGCATGTAAAACACTGATAAAGGCCCTGCTTAGTCCTTTGGAAACTGCTGCTTCTTTTCAGCAAAATAACATGAAGCTTGAGTTTGAAGGAAGCACTGTCAAGAGTCTGCACGGAAGCAGGGGGTGAACAGTGTCTTTTGGTGAACTATATGGTTCTTGCCGTGAGATCAGAGACTTTTCCAAAACAACCTATGACCTTCCCAGCAAAGCAAGCACAGTTTAGAATCGAGGCACTGTGACCTCTTTTATTCCAGATCAAAAAAAAAAAAATTCTCTAAGACACTGCATTTACAGAACACCTTCACCTCTCCTGAAGGTTTTAACACAGCTTTCACAATACCCAAATCCCACTCTGATGAGTCCTCAAGTAAAATGCTCACATCCCATTTTGGAGGCTGAAGCCACATCCATTTTTCACAGCTGAGCACCTCCAGGGTCCCTAATGCAGCAGCAAGCCCTCACCTCACAGCACCAGAAGGGAGAGCAGCCAATAAAGCAGAAATAATGGCAGTCATACTGCAGGTTTCAGTAGTACCATGGTGACAAGAGTCATCACAGAGTTCAGCAGTCTGCAGTGTTGCACCGTAGTACCAGTGACAAGTTTTAAATGCTCAAAATAGGTGACTCTACAAGAAAGACAAAGAATATCCATAAACAAATTACTGGTATTGGCTGGATTTTGGTTGGTTGGTTGGGTTGTTTTTTTTTAGTAAGATAGAGATGCCTTCTCTTTTTATAGCTCTCACTGAATGACTAGCAATTTTAACATCCAGGCTTTCGAAACATGCAGGCTTCACATCGTTTTCCTTCATCAGAAATTTCTAATTTCCAAAGGTTTTGTATTCATTTGCTGTCTCTCAACTATACCAGCACTTTACTGCCCTTTTGAGGTTGTTTAACTCAACAGTAAATACCTTGTTTAACTCAAAAGTAAACTCTTTACCCAAACTTTTCTACATTATATATTTCAGAAGTGTTTATTCAAAGGAGTATTTTGGAGCTATTCTGCAGTGAAACACCACCCTTCAAATGTAAGCTTCAATTAACTGAACATCCAGCACTGTGAAGACAGTTTGTTTACACTTCAATGATTTTTTCTTTTTAAATAAACTGGAATTACCCAGTTTATACCTGTGGGAAATGTCTTTGACCAGACATGGCTGACAGAATGGAATAATGAACAAAGCTTTCATGTCATGATATACAGAGGAGTCATCTTAGGCTGAAACAGGGTAAAGGACTCTGACACACAGAATACTAAACTGAGGAAGATGAAGTCTTATGAATAAAGGAAGAGGGTTTAGTGTGAAAAAATGGTGGTTATTTTGGAAGTGGCTAAAAATGCCTGATACAAAGTGGGAAATAAGTAGAAAAATGGTGCATTTCTCTGCCAAACAGCTGACTACACCTCCTCAACACCAGCTGCATCAAATACCTTCACACTTGAGCCACCACAGTTATTTGTAAAGGTAATGGAAAAAGCCCTTCCCTCCCTGATGCGTGGCAGGGGAGATAGACTCCTAAGTCAAACACAGGTCTCAAAAGGAAATACAGCACACTGAATTTCCCTCACTGGCTCCTGAAGTAGCAGAAAGCTCTTCTTACTTCCTTCCTCCTATCACACAGAGGTGCTTCACCGTGGCAAAAATAGAAGTTATTTGTCAGGGGTCCTTCAGCTACTAGCTAGGGAGGGAAATCAAAGTCATCACAATCAGTGCAGTAATTTCCTTCCAACCAAGTTCCTTGATGCACTTCCTTCTGAGGTGGCTGCTGATGTTTTCCACAGAAGAGAAATTCATCTAACCATGCCAGGCAGCTCACACCATACGACCCTGCTGAAAGCCTTCATGAAGAGCCAGGGCATCAAAGTGTGAATTTCCATGCAGTACTGTACATCCCAAAGCAGCACGGAGCTTTGGGCGAATATTAGTGGATAAGCAGCATCCTGCTGTAAATTCATCATTAACATGGTCCCTTAGAAAGTCTAAGGGAAAACCCCCATACATTGCATCTCTTCACTGCCCCAGTCACCAGCTGCCCGTTTCAATTGTATTAACACGTATTTTAAATACAGAATAAGCCTGACTAAAGAATATTTTAATTTAGCACTAACTAATCTAAACCATGGTACCCACCACACACAGGAAACCCATCTGAGGAACTTTAAACAAGGCTCAACCTAAGCTTCCAACAGTGGACACAGCAAGAAGCCTAAATTTCAAATCTCTGCTGTACGCTCTGAAAATTCACAGCTTTTTGTACTGCAGAACAGTGCTGGGGATGCTGGAAGAGTAGGACTAATTTTCAAGATCGACCCTATGAGGGGGAGCCAGGTCCCAATGACTTCCAGGCAATAATGCCATCAAAGCCTTGTCCCACTGAAGACTTCAGCTCCATGGCTGCTCCACTGCTGGACCAGCCCTGCCCATGCAAGAACCAGCTTAGGGACACAGGAAAACAGACCAGCAAACCCATTCTTAGCAAAGGCAGAACCGCACCAGCAAAAACCAGTAAAACCAGGTCCCAGGGGCAATATGAGCACAGGAGAAGCAGTTTTCTCACCGTAACTGCATCACTACTTGCAAGTTTCTGTTGGCACAAGTACTGGGTTAGGGATCAACACATCTAAGCCAGCAAAAAGTCTTCAGAGCATTAGGAACTGAGTTACTAAATCCCCATGGAAAACAATGTTTAGTTGTAGCTTGCAGTACTAGTAGCTCATCTGACAAAGCCTCTAACGCACAACTGGCTACACAGGAGGAAAATGATCTTTATGGTAAAAAACCCAGAAGCTAAAGTTACAATTCTGTTAGATTTTTACTTGCACCTGTAGGACACTGAGAGATGAAGCTGTTAATAGGCAGGCCTATAACTCTGGCCACGTTCAGCTTCATGCCTCATAGCTGTGTGAGCAAATGGAAAACTAAAACAAAACCACAGTTGAATATTCCCTCCCAGCTCTATTTGTTGAATGCTACTCTGCAATGGCAGTTTGGAAATAACTCTTTTGGAACACAAAGTGCTTTTTTGGTTTAAGTGAGAGTCCAAGTAGCAATTTCACTTCAACAGTTATCTGGAGTCAGTCTACAGTCTTTTATTTTAAGCAACTTACTGAAAGCCTGGGAAAGAAAAAAGCCAAATGCTAGGATAAAGAATGATACATTAGTCATTAAAGAAACAACAACAGGTTTGTGGTTTTGCCAATGTGAAGAAGGATACTCCAACACTTTTTAGTTGGTATAGTTACTCAGTAATTAGCCTTCATTTAAAACTCCCTCCAGCATGTACAAGTTATTCAGCACAATCATGGGCAGACCACTTTCACACTGTCTCAAGCCTGCAGGTCACTCAGTTTGATGGAAGAGAGAGTAGCCATGTTCTTCGTGTGCTTTTAAAACCATAAAGAAAAACAGGAGCTCGCATCTCCATCAAACTTCCTGACATTGTATGCGAGTCTCATAATTTTAGACAGTGGCTATTTCTCTCAAAAGACCATAACTCAAATGACTAGCTGAAAATTAGGTTGTTTTCAAGCACAACCTGGTGTTTGAGTTGAGAGAGGTTTAGCCTGAGGTAGCACACAGGAAAATGTACTAAATGATACTGACAAAAATCTCTGATAGAGGTTGGAGGCAAGTGGGATGTCAACTTTCTGCCTGCCAACCATATCGCTGGTGCTTGATGGAGTCTACCTGATACAGAAGTGAGCATCTCTTTCAAAAATGTCAGAAGGAGCCAGGCCACTGAAACCCCTTATCGAAAATGATGAAGCCTTGACACCTGGAGGGCAAGGGAACCTGTGCTCCTGCTTCCACTGCCACAGTGACCAGGAGCGAATTGTGCCTCATTGCCAATGGTTTTTGCCAGGAAACTCAACTGAATGTCTTCACTACTGCAGACCCTCTACTACTGTAAAATATAAAATGGGACACCTTGAGAAATGCAATTAAGCAGCCACAGAGATCTCAGCTAAGGAGAATCCTACTGTCACAGCAGCCTCTAACACATACCATCCACACAGCACACCAACTCTTCCTGCCACTGTGTTCATCCCTCCCCTGCAGCTCAGCACTCTACAAGCAACCTGCTACAAACAAGTCTCCCGCAACAGTAAATCACTTCCCTACAACAAACAGCATGCCCAAGTCCTGCTCTGCTCACCCAGTCCCCTCCTTTCCACCTCTCCTCCTGGCCAAGAGCTTTCTCTTTGCCACTGTCCACCCAGTGCTTTCTCACCAGCTCATCCGCTGCTCATCTCCCTGGCTCCAATACTCAACAGTCCCAAACTTCCCAGCCAGTTCCCAAAGATGCAGAGGTGACACACAGAGGCAAATGAAGCACTGCAGTATAAAACATGTCAACTTTTAAAATAAACAATGAAGTCAAATTGAAAGGGCACTGGCAGGGTT